GTTGTGCCCCTTCAAATGCCAGGAAAATGGAGGAAGGAGACAATAAGCCACAGGTGCTTGCTCCAAGTCGGGGCCCACCCTGGGGTGCTCTCTGTATGTTGCCCATCAGCTTATTACTGTAACCCCATGAAGCAGATGTGACCCCATTCAACAGATGTGAAACAGCTGGGGAGTATCCGTTACTTGTCAGGTGGCTTAGACTGAAACCTGGGCCCATCTGCTTCCCAAACCCCTGCCCTTCCTACTCCACCTGATATGAAGAGGGCCTGGGGCTCCCCAAAAGGCAGGAGGATCCTCCAATGCCACTCCCAGGGGAGCCGACAAGAAGAACAAAGAGGTGGGCTGGTACCATTGGTCACAGGAAGTGGAGCACTCATGTGGTGGGAAGGATGACTGGGGATAGGGACCAGGCTCTCCTGGGGCTCAGCCTAAACCAGGAGCCCCAAGTGAGTGCTTCAGAGCAGCCCAAGTCTTGTTGTCAACTCCAGCCCTGAGGACGGGGGTGGAACGGAGTGTCCCTGCAGGATGAGTAAGCCCATTGCTCAGTGCCCCTCAGCTTTGCCTTTCAGAGGGTTGAGTGTGCAGCTCTGGGACCCAGAATGACATACTTCCCACAAGAAGACACCCATCTGGGATGTCTACGCCCGGGAGGGGTGGGATGAGCAGGGAGGTTCCTAGTCAACAGACACAGACACACAACCTGTGTGTAGGACCCACAAACACGGACACTCATGAGAGGGGCCGGAGCATAGCCACTTCATGGTGGGGTCTCACCTTGCTTATCCCTGTCCGTTTCCAGTCACCCCGGAGCAGGGCAGTCTGTGTTCGGGGACAGGGACAAGGAGGGCTGCTGAGGGAGGGCAAAGCAAACTTCTCCCCAGCGGCAGCAGCCCTCCCTGCCTAGCCAGAAAACCCAAACTCAAGCAGAGGAAATAAAGAGAAACAAGAAGCACGTGACTAGTCATGACTGGGAGCAGGTTGGGGGCTGAGAGCAGCGTCCTAGTGCCATAGACAGTAGCAATACTTATGAGAGGCACCAGAGTGAACAAGGTGGCTCAGGCCAGAAGCTTCTGGCAGCTGCCCCAGGCGGTGTGCTTCCCCAGGGCCGAGGAACTAGTACCTCTGTCCTGTAGCCCACTCAGAGCTCCTCACCATGCCCTGGCCCCTGCATGGGCCCTGGGAGGAGTTGAGGAGGCCTTTGGAGGGGGCTGGATTAACGCTGGGGCCGAGATAAGCATACAGTACAGATAGAGCTGAGGATGCTGGGGTGGGGGTGAGGGGTATGGCTGGCAGGGTCGAGGGTACAAGGTTCTATAAGGCAAGGGAGCTACAGTGGAGAAGCTGGAGCTTGTCTGGAGGAGCCCACCAGCAGCAGTGCCAGAGAGGACACCTCCCTCCCAATGGATCAGCCCAGCGAAGCGTGGCTACTCGGAGCTTCCCCGAGGGCGCCTGGCTTGGTACTGGAGGCGGGCACTGGGGAGGCACAGGTTCCAGCCTGGGCACCAGGAGCATTAGTCTAATTGGAGGAGGCTCAGGAGGGGGGTGGGTTGGGATGGCTATGGCATTGGCCTAGGTAAGGGGGGTGAGGAAGGAAGGAGCTTGGGGGGAGTGACAAAGGAGGAGAGGGACACAAGCAATGTCACAAGTAGGACTGAGCTGGAGGACTCGGTGACAAATTAGAAATGAAGCATGAAGGAGAAGGGAGAGGCGAGGGAGACTCTAAGGTTTCAGCCCCGGGCTTGGGGAATAGGGAGAGGGGGAGACAGGGCCCATGGAGGGAGGGGCAGCGGGAGATGTTTGGCCTGGAAGGAGCAGGCCCAAGCTTGTATGTGTGTGGACATGTGTTCCCAGGCCGCAGCCCAGCACTGAGGACTTTGTCTGGAGAAGGGGTCCCCCATCTTATAGATTGAATGATTTGAGTCTGCAGATCTGTGGCCCAGGGATCTGCACCAGGCAGGAGGAAGGGAAATAAGATGGTGGGGGCCCTAGGAGTTTGGGGGGGCTGGCTCCTGCCTGAGGCCAAAGTTGGCTGCTCTCAGGAACCAGCCAGCGCCTCTTGGTTGGGGGTTGTTACCTGAACCAATGCCAATCCCTGGGCTCCTAAGAGAAGTCCCTCCCAACACAGGCAAAGGGAGTCAGATCAGACCTCTTCTGGGACACCTCAGGGACCCCAAAGCCTAGCCCACTCCATCCCCAAGGCAGAGTGAGTGAGAGCAGTGTATTTTTTAGCCCTAAATAATTAAGATACCCCTCCCCCACAACCAACTGTTCCAGTCAGGGGGGTGAGAGGTGGACAGAGGAGTCTAGGACCAGCCCGGAAAATGGGGGTGGACCCCGAGGAAGAGGCCACCAGGACAAATTATTTGAAAAAATATGTATCTTTATTGATTTCAGAGAGGAAGGGAGAGGGAGAGAGAGATAGAAACATCAGTGATAAGAGAGAATCATTTATCAGCTGCTTCCTGCACAATTGGGGATCGAGCCTGCAACCCAGGCATGTGCCCTGACTGGGAATTGAACCATGACCTCCTGGTTCATAGGTCAACGCTCAGCCATTGAGCCACCGTGGTCAGGCCACCAAGACAAATTATTGGGGCCAAGTCCCCATGGCACCCCGTCCCCAGGACTGCAGAGATCTGTGTGGAGAGAAGCCTACAGGTGTGTATGGCCCACAGGGGCAGGGAAGCAGGTGCCAGCTGTGTGACTGGCTATGAATGGGGAACCCGGTGAGACAGATGGGTCCCTGTGCTCAAAGGCACAGAGCAGGGCCTACTGGGTGAGTGTGCCGAAGGGAAGGCTTTTGTGTGACCCAAGGTGGACGCTTAGCCTGGGGAGCAGGAAGCTGCCATTGTGCTGGCCCCCCGGCGCCCCCTGCTGGCCACTCACACACATCCATCCATATATTCCTCGCCCCCCCCCCCCCCCCCCCCCCCCCCCCCCATATTGCTGGGGAGTTGATGGGTGGTGCAGGAGGAGCAAGGGTCATTGTAGGGCCAGCCTACAATTAACTGGAGCTTGTGGAGGACAATAGTAAGAGGCCCAGACGAGAAGGAGGCGCACTCTGTGCCCTTCAGCAGCTCCTCCCACAGGCCTGTGAGTAGATGCCCGGAGGCTCTGCTCCAGGACAGTCCTATGGCACAGGGGCCCACCAGCCAGCTCCCTGGACAACCGTGGGCCAGGCCTCAACAGGTGCCCCACCAGCCCGGGGTTTGAATCACCTCCCGGTCCCCCAATTCTGCAGCCTCCCAAGAATCCATGTGGCACCTTCCCCCAACCCCCAAGGTTATGGTTCTCTGTTTCACCAGCACCATCACCCCCTTACCTATATATGCTCACCTGTGCAACTGCTCACAACTATCACACATCTGAGGCAGGCTACACACATACCAGTGTTGCATACACTGCTAGGCCCTGTCATCACCAGGACACACATGCCAACTCACAGCCCTCACACATGCTTGCATGGGCAATATGCAGATATGACCGACCACACAGCCCCCTCGCACGTCTGACTCGTAAACCTTCCCCTGGGCACCTACTCGTTATCTGGCAACACCTTCCCTTGCAGCTCATGATGGTTAGTGGTGCAGCTGCCCGCTGAGGGTGGCACACATACTCCTCACATGCACATGTGTACAATATGAACACACACGCAGAGGCAGTGCAGCCGCCCAGCTAGGCCAGGTTTAGAAGGGGAGGTCATGGGGCAGAGGGTTTGTTAAAGTGAGGACTGGGGGGAGGGGGTGATGGGATGATGGAGAAGGGATATAGAGTATGGGATGTGGAGGACTGAGGGGCAGCATAGGAGGATGGCCAGCCAGCGGTGGGCGCAGGATGTGCTACACAGAGTCCCTTTAAGGAAACAGCTATCAGCCTCAATCATCTGACTGGTCTCTGAGCAATCACGCATTGATGATCTTCGATCAGTCTGGCTTTGAATCTCAGGAACCCCAATGCTCCCTCCTGACACTCCTGGGATTAAAAATGGCCTGGCCAAGCAGAGGGGGCACCAAGAATCAAGAATTGGTAGGGCAAGCCCCATGGCCTCTTGATCACATATATGACCCCACACACACACACATACACACACACACTCATAAATAAGTTCAGCTCTGCTAAGTGCATGACTGGGGGGCAGAGATTAGGAGGACACAACAGCTCAGCCTGAATGGAAGCTCAGGGAGAGCAGACAAAGGATGCAGGGGACCCGCCCCCCCAAAGGAGGTGGGTTGAGGGCTGAGTTACCAAGCAGGTTAGGGTGGCCAATGGGACATAAAGGGAGGAGGAAGGGATGTGTAGTAAACGGGAGAAGGGGAAGCGGCAGTGAACCCACCATACACAACTGTGGCCCCCGCAAACCAGGGGGCCCAGGAGCCCCAGCCCCAGCGGGGGACCCGCAGTGCTCTGTGCAGGCTGCAAAGGCTGGGGGCTCGGGTATGCGCCTCCACGCCTGAGTGTGTACGTGTGCGAGCGCGTGTGGGGGGAAAGAGGAGGACACTGTGTTCTGGACGTGGGCAGAGACCAGGTGCCCAAGCTAGGAACTGTGAGTAGCTGTTTGAGGCAGATGCTACCAGGAAGAGGTATCTTAACCGCCCTTCTCGATTTCCTGGGGACCGGGAGGTGATCAAAGCCCTCTAATCTGGACCCTCAAAGTCAGGCTCCCCCCGGGGCGTTGATTCAAACCCCTGACCCGGCTCTGGGGCCGGCACCCACCAAACTTCCCTCGCCCTGAGGCGTGGGGCGTCTACACTCGCCAGCCCCGCGCGCCGACAGCTGCTCCCGGACTTGGCAGAACCCAGGCTTCCGGGGAAGCGCGCGGGGAAGCTGCGCAACAATAAGAGGCGGCCCCCGCGTCCCGCCTCGCAAAGTTTGGCCTCGGGGGGCTCCCAACTGGATCTGGCAATGCGGGTCAGGGACAGCCCCCCTCCCCAATTCCAGAGCGGCGAGCGTTCGAGCACCCTGTCCCCCGCAAACCACCACCGAGCGTGCATGTGACTCACCGGAACCGCGGAGCCAGGCGGCGAGGACTATGCCCAGGAGCGCTGGCCACAGGCCGGGCCGGACGGCCATGGCCGCTGGCGGGCAAGCCGGGCGCGGGGCCCCGCGGGCGGGAGGGCGACTTTCAGCGCCTCAGCCCAGAGCCCCTGCCCGGGGCGCCCTCGGGGCCCATGCCAGCGGACGGCGCTCCCACGGGCAGCCGGTTACGGGGCGCACGCGGCGCGTGGCTCCCCTGGGCACCCGGAGCGCAGCAATGCAGCCAGGGCGGAGCGCAGCGACAGCCTCGCCGCGCACCCAGCCCGCCGCCGTGCGGAGCCCGCAGCCCGGGCGCGGGCCGGCGCGCGCCTTAAAACCCGGAGTGGAATCGCGGAGCGGGCGGCGGCAGGGCGGGGCGAGGGAAGAAAGGAGGGGCCGGGCCGCCTGGCGCCGTGCGCACCGGCCACCGCCGGTGCCCGGGGTCCCTTCAGGAGGTGCCCTAGGCTCTCCCGGGGACGGGTGGAGGTGGTGGGCGGGAAGGCCTCCCACCGCCCCTCGCGATCTCCAGGGACAAGGACAGGAGTCTGAAACCCGGAATGGATCGGTTCTCGGATCCGGCCTCTCCCGGGCCCGCCAGCCTGCGCACAGGTGGCTCGGGAGGGGCCCGAGACTGCGGCGACACGGAGAAGTAGCCCCAGCCTGCAGAGAGCGGCCGGGTGCAGGGGTGCCCGGGGCAGATTCCACTGCAGTCCTCTTCCTCCATCACACCCCATTCCCGCCTCCCAGCCGCCTCCCAGCGCGCCGCGGCATGCCACCAGCCCGCGGCTTGGATAGGGGACTGCGGGAGAGCGCCCGGATTCCCGGCCAGCCCGCAGAGGTGCTCTGGCTGGCCAGAGTCGGGGGCCTCCCGCAGTCCCAAGCACATAGGCTGGTGGACATCAGCGTTACCCAAGGTTTCTATAACCCACGGCGCGCCGTTCGCCTAAGGAAAACAACAGGGTGCAGCATATCTGACCGGGCGCGCGGGGTTTGCGCCCTGAGCGCGCACAGCGCTGGAGACGTGGGCGTAAGGAAACCAGTTGGGCTTTGGAAGCTAGAGAGACCTGGGGTAGGGCTTAGGCGCTTCCGCCTTCTAGCTCTTTGACCTTGGGCAAGTCACGTTGTCTCCCGAAGCCTTCCAGTAATGACCGCTGCTGGAGTCTCCGGTTCCCCACCCCCTTCCCTATTCGAGTTAAAATAAACAAGAGTGTTGCCTTGAAAGGAAAAAGAAACGCGCACCGTGTGCACGGGATGCGAGAGGTCAGAAAAAGAGGCCCTATGCTGGGTCGGGAGGGGGATGAGAAGAGAGGGCAGAGTCGCAAACTAAAACGCCTACAGCGGCCTGAGGGTAATATATATTGGTACTGCACGCTGGGCGATACAAGAATGGTCTTGGCTTCCACAAAGAGATATGAGGTCTACTATATTTCTTGAAACACGAGGCCCTCTCTCGGTCTGTCTTTTGTTTCCCAGTATTGATAGAAAAGAGTTATGAGAAATGTTTTTGCTTTTCTCTTAACTCTACTATAAAAATCACCAGCCAGTGTCCAGATACACATTTGCAGGCGCTAGGCTTCGGTGGCAGGGAGAAACGCCAGCACTGGGAACCGGGCACAGGGTCCCATCTAAATGTAGAGACAGCTGGCTCTTCTACTCCAGGGGCCACTAGGTGTGTGTGTGTGTGTGTGTGTGTGTGTGGAATATGGCTCAATGCTGGCCACATCTCCCAATTTCCTCATAGACTTCAATAGAAGCCATTGCATGTGAAATCTTCTGACCTAAAATCTGTAACTGAAAAATAAAAATATTTAAACTTCATGTGAGCCCAGATGAAAATGTGCATAAGTATGCACCACTTCTGGTTTTTGTACTCTGCTTTTGGGGTTGCTTGTTTGTATTCTGTGCAAGGAGGGCTTGATCTAGCCCATTGATGTGTGTGTGTGTGTGTGTGTGTGTGTGTGAAGCAGTGTTTGCCTGGGCCCCACCATGCTCCCAGGGAAGAGGTGGGTAGGAACAGTAGCAGAACCTGCATTTGGGCTCCTAGGAGGGGAAATGATTAGGAACTAGGGTTTGAGCACTGGTGGGGGTGTTGAGGATGAAGGACTGATATTGGGGACTGGAATATGAGATGATATCATAATGGTGTGCTGGACTCTGCTATGTTTTTTCCTACATTTATAATTTGGTTTGTTCCTTACATACAATCCTGATAAATAAACATTATATTCCCATTATACAGATGAGGAAACTCAGGCTTGAGGGAAGGCACCTTACTCAATGACTGCAGAGCTCGCTGAGATTGGTCCTTGGGAGGTTTGATTTCAATGTCACCCTCTTTACATTTCCTCCCGCAATTACTGCCCTGGAATTGAAATTTGGGAGTAAGGTATTGGGTGCAGGAAAGCCAAGGTTCTCCTTTTCTGTCCAGTTTGGTTGATCTGTTCACTTCTCTGGTTCTCTCTTTTGCTGTGTAGCAGTTACAAACAGTGGTAACAAACAGTCCTCAAATATAAGTGGCTTAAATCAACGAAGGTTTATTTCTCACTTGTTTTTATGGGGCTGCTGCTCCAGATCGTCCTCACTCTCCAGCCCAGGCTGACAAAGCAGCCACTCAGGAACACTGCTGGTCAGTGAAGAACAGGAAGCGGGAGCTTTGAAAGCACGCCCACCAGCAATCAATGGCTCAGCCCAGAAATGACACATGCCACTTCCAATCACAATTCACTGGCCAGAACTGGCCCCCCCAGCCTGACCCCAAAAGGGCCAGAAAGTGCAATCCTGCCATGTGCCTAGAAGGCAGCACCTGAAACACATGGAGTCTGGTGTTCATGGTGGCCACAGTCTTCAAGCCCAGCATGGCTTGTGCCCCGCCTACCTCTGTCCTGGCCTTGTGGCCTTGTGTTTCTCCAGCAACCAAGCTCACCTCCACCTTTGTACCTCCCATTTGCTTTACTTCCCGGAACACTCTGTCCCCAGATTGTCACATGCTGGTGCCTTTTTACTTGTGCAGATCTCAGCTCAGCTGTCCCCTTCCAAGTGGTACTCAGCGGGTGACAGGAAAGGGGGCAGGATGTCCTTGCAGAGACGGGGGAGTGCACATTTCACTTGAATTCTGCTTAAGAATCAGGAGGACTGTTAGCAAGGACTTGCCTCAGACCTGAGGGTAAGTGGCCAAATGGAAGGAAGGCTCCTGACATCTCCAACCTGCTTTTCCCTTGAGCCCGACTTGAAGGGAGTGAGGGGCCAAACCCCATTGAGGTGGTATCTGCCAACAAGGGTCTGTAGCCCTCTTGCAAAATCCCAGTGACAGGGCACAGGTTTCACCTGACCATTCTGCTGGCCAGGAGTTTCTTCTCTCTAGGGAACAAGAATCTGCCCCTCACTGGGTTCATTTTCTGAAACCCCATCAAGGATGCCTGCTCCCTCTTTTGCTTCTGTTATTTCAGACCTTTTCTTTTACTTTAGAACACAAAGTTGGGCTCTATCATGAATTTTCTTCCTCCGGGCCAAATAATTCTGCTTCTGTAACTGGCATGGCAGCTGGGTTCCGGGGCCCTGTCTTGGGAACCCTGGCCCCTCTGAGGTGCTTTACAGCAAGGCTGCTCCTCTGAAGGCACTTCTGGAAGAGGGTGGCACATCTCTTGCCCGCAAGGCTGATGCACAAGCAGGGTCCCAATCAGCTGTTGGCCATGACATTGCACTGTTAACGCCCACTGGACTGAGGGACCTCGGAGCCTGTGGTGAGGCATCACTGACTTAGAGATGTGCCAGAAGGTCCTGTGATGCTAGTTACCATGCAAATCTCCAGGCCATGCTCTCTCCCAATATCATGTCTAGAAGGCGTCTAGCAATCTGTGCTTTTACCAAGTCCTCCCTCTCCCCCAGCTATTTCTGCCGGTGCCAGTGATCTGAAGACCACACTTTGAGGCACACTGCCATAGGTGCTGCCAACAACTGGGTGCTTCCCGTCTACCATTGAGTTGCTGGCTTTCTGAATTTAAATGCAGAGACTTCATCTCATCACATTTCTATTCCATTGTATTGCGACTAATTCCTCTTTTCCATATGGAGCGTTTTCAGAATGTGGAGGCTGTGATGCAGGGTACTTGTTATTTTCTTCAGCTTCCTGTCACCGTCAGCAGAGATTAAGAGTCATCCATACTTTCAGCCAAGTCCTTACTAGACAGGTGGCTGAGGGCAGGACCAAGGACAGAGCCTACCAGGTCAATTGCTCCAGGGCAGTAAGTCAGCTTCTCTTTTCATCCACTTGGGAAACCACAAAATAATTAAACAAAATAAATGGAAATGCCCTGCAGAACCCCAATCCAGGAGCTTCCAGCATTGCCCTGATCCACCAGGCCCATAATCCAACCCAACAGGAAGTTAGTTCATCAGGCAGGACTTGCTTTTGGCAACCCCACATTGGTTCTTGATGACCCTTGCCCCGATCCCAGCATTCAAACCTGCCCAATGCTCAGCATCCAGCTTCTGTCTTTCAGCATCCCCCTGTATTTCCTCCCCACTGTCAGTGCACGAGGTTTATGTGGTGTTACCCCATCCCCGTTCCAGAGGACTGCTCATGCTTCAGTCCTGGCCACTCAGCATTTACATCCCTGAACCACAGGGATTCTTTTAGGGATGCACACATGACTCAAGCCAAGCCACGGAGGCTCATTTCCAGGACTTTTGTTGGAACTAAGGAGAGAGAGAATTTTTCTTTTCTTGTTGGACTTGGAGCAAGGAAGAGGAGGTTCTGGAGCTGCCATGATGTGAGGAGAAGAGGAGATTTGGAACCCTGGTTATCATTCAGGATCCAGCTGCTCCTGAAGCTGTCAGATATGTCCCTAATTTTCCAGTTACTTGGGTCAATATATTTCTCTCTTTTTTTTTTGGATTGTTTGAGCCCATTGAGTTTCTTTTATTTGCACTTGAGAGAATGACACAGAACTATGTTTTCTAGATGCCTGTTCTAGAGCCTTTCCCGGGCTAAGGCAGGCATCTATTAGTGCATACTGCTTACAGGGCTCAATGCCACCCAGCGGGGACAGCTGCAGCCTGTGGGAGAGGACACGGATATTCTCCCAGTTGTAAGCTAGGGTGTCATCCCCACACATTCTTCACTCGCCAGGTCACCAAGCAAGTGAAGAAGGTTTGGAGGCTGAGAGGGGAAAGAGAACTAGAAACAAACCCTTTCAGAGGACCCCCCCCAAGCAACATCTGGATAAGTCCCTTTTGTACACAGAACCCCAACGCCCAACCCCAATATCCTGAATCAAACACACACACAGCATGCCAACACCAAATCTCTACTCCTAAT